CTCGTCCTCAGTTTCTATCGGTGTGGCCACTTCAGATTCATCTTGAACCATACTAACTTGTGAATCTTTACTAGAAACTGGAATAGGGTCAATCTCCTAACCTTCTTGGTTTCCATCTTCAACCTGGAACTTTTGTGGTAGTATATGCACCATATTCACTGACACTGGAGGAAATGAGCCAAACTGAACTACTAGCTACACTTGCTTCTTTTCCAGGCTAACTTGTTCAATTATTTCAGAAGCATCTTCTATGCTACATTTTGGCATTTCAGTACTAGTGACTTCCTTCGAATGGTTTGTTCTTGCTGGTTTTTAGACCAAAAATGTTTGTTCAGCCATGAAGGCTTCAAACATCTCCTCCTCAACCATTTCTTTCCTTTGGCCTAGATCAACTTCTCCTTCTGTCTCATTGTTGCTTTCCATCAAGGCCTTTTCAAGACCTGTTAAGCTGGATCTTTCCTTGGCTTTCAGTTCAAAGTGGACTTTAGCCAACTGCTCTTTGCTGAAACCTCTTCTATTTTGAGGAGTCAATTTTGGACTATGGTCCAATTTTGGACTTTCTCTTTCCTCTGTCTGGCCTTTTGACTGGGCCAATGAAGAACTCTCCCTACTTTTCTTCAGATCCTTTTGGTACTGAGTATACTTTCGCTGGATCTTCCTCCTTTAGGACCTAGAAATTACTAGAACCATATCTGGTTCCTTTGTTTTTCAGAGCTTCAGTAACACCTAATTATTTGGAGCCACCAAGGGAGGTTTAACCATTTTACCCTGGTCTCCAACAACACTTCTTTAGGCAGACATTTCTTTAGGCTTGTTCTGCATGACAAACTAATCTGGAACCCCAGGTACCAATGAACTCACTAGCTCAGTTGTTGAACTAGCTTTTTCTACCTTCGAAGCCAGTTTTGAAGCTGCCTGTGGGGGCCACTGCTTGGCCTTGATCCCCTGTCTTGGGCCTAATTTAGGCCTTCTGTTAGGGTGGTTACTTTCCATCTTGTTTAAGGCTGATTTAGAAGGCCAATCTCTGGCTCTGATTCCATAACTTGAGCCTACTTCAGGCCTCTTCTTAGGATGATTTCCCTCCATCCTGTAGTAGTTGGGTGGTCTGAACCCATGTAGAGGTCTCTTGCCCTTGGAATACACTCTAGTAGTTGATGGTCCAGCCGAGAATGGCTGCTGTCTAGGACTAGTTGGGTATGGCCTCTTGTTGTAGGTATTGGTTGGTTTAGGACGTCTCTGCACATCCTTGTAATATTGTTTCCCATCAATTGGGAGCCCTTTCAACCATTTGTAACTTAACCTGCATCTGGGACACATCCTTTGCATGACAGCTGCCTCTAGGGAGTTGTAACAACCCTCATACTGTTTACCGACTTATGATTTTGCATGCAGACTGTCTCAGCTCATTGGGCATTGTTTATTTACTGTATTGGCTTCCGCCAGGCCCTGTACTCTGTTTTACTGTGTTACTGTTCTGCAGGCCTTTGGTAATCTCGGATTACTGGCCGGTTACGGTGCTAAACCCATAGGGCCGGGTTTGGGTCGTGACAGGAGTCATCATCCAGTGCCTCTTCACTAGAGTCCTCCTTTTGGTCTGCAAAGCTCTGCCCATTCGCTAGTGAACCTCTGGTATCTTTCTTGTCAGTAGTCTAGTTGGCAACATGCATTTGCACATTAACCTTTTCCAATTCTTTCAAGGATAAGTTTTGGAAGTCTAGCATAACACCATTGGTTGTAACTTCTCCAATCTCTGGGAATGGATTAGTGTCAATCCCCATAGCTTTCTCTGCTTTAGTTGGGAATTTTAAACTCCCCTTTCGAATCTGTTCTTGGATCCTATCCCGAAAAACAATACAGTTTTTAGTTGAGTGAGACCAAGAATTGTGCCATTTACAATACATTTTCCCTTTAAGTTCTTCCTGAGAAGGAATTTTAACTCTTATTGGTAACTTTAGGAAATTCGTTGCAAGCAAATAATCAAAAATGTCATCTGCCTCTGTTAAATCAAAAGAGTATTTCCTATGATGGTCTTTCTTTTTAAATTGTTGGTCTATTGTAGTGTCTTTATGAATTAATGCCTCACAGATCATAGGCTCTTTCCTTATGATCTCTACTGCATCAATCTTATAATTAGGATCTTTATAATAAGTCTTGTATGATGCATTACTTCGATCTTGTTCTTCCTCAAGTAATGATTCATATCTAGACACCTTATAAGTTAATTCCACTAAGTTTCGAAACTCAATTGAGTCAAATTTCTTTCGAAGTCTAAACTCTAAACCATTTTGAGCCAATCTCACAAATTCAGGCTCTAGTAGAATGACTCTACACTTGTTTCGTGCTTTTTTGAATCTGACAATAAATTGAACAGCCTTCTCATCAGGCCTTTGACTCAACCTTGCCAAGTCTGTCGTGGAAACTTCTGGCTCCATTTGGAAGAATTGGGCATGAAATGCCTCCTCCATTTGCTGCCAAGTTTGGATAGAGCCAAGTGAAAGGTTAATATACCATACAAAAGCTGTCCCAGTTAAAGAATTTGAAAAAAGTCTTAACTTCATGCAATCATTATTGGTAAATTCACCACATTGGGCAGCGAATCTAGCAATGTGTTCTACTGTTGACTGGTTTTCATTTCCATAAAAAAGAGCAAAGTCTGGTATTCTAAACCGCCTTGGATATTTATGCACCCTATCCACCCATTCTGGATATGGCTTCCTATACATAGGAGTTTGAACCTCCCGAGCCATAGGTCCACACATTTCTCTGACAATATCATCAATTTGGTCCCTAGGAACCATATTTTGTGCTTGTTGGACTACCACTGGAGGAACAAACACAGGATTTGGTGGAAAACCTTGTGTCTGAGGTCTTCTTGGTCCATAAGGAGGTATATTTGGGACTGGCTGTCTCTGTGGTATTGGCTGCTGTTGGGGGTATGGTTGACCTCTCTGAGCCTGTCCTGCGAAAGGTGCTGTAATAGGAGGAACATATGTTGTTTATCTTCCAACCACAGGAAACCCTTCCAACCCCCCAAGTGCGAATTCGAACAAGGGATTAGTGAAACCCCTTGTGCCAGGTATGACTTCGAACATGGGATTTGAAAACATTCTCATGCCATTTTCTTGTGTTGGCCCAGATCCACTAATTTGTATGGCTTCACTGTTAGGTAATAAGGCATGTTGATTTACCATAGGCCTTGAAAGAGGCTCATACCAAGATTGAGGTATAGGTGATGACCTTTCATAATTTTGATTACTAGTCTGACCATTAGTATGTCCATTACTTTGCATAGACTGTTTATCTCTAGCCAATCTTTGCTAAGGAACATTTGAATTTTCCTCCATATGCCTTGTGTTAGTTGGTTGATAGGCATTCATCTGATCTATAAAGGATATTACCCATCTTTCCATTGTGTTCATTAACTACTATTCCATGGCATCTTCTAGGCCTCCCCATGGATTCATTGGCTGAACAGATGGAACAGTGAATGGTCTAATTCCATGGCCTTGTCCAATATTTTGAACATGTGGTGCGTGTTATGAATTACTGGTTTGTTCGACCATAGGTTTTGATGAGATAGGTGCTTCCATAGGATGTGTTATCACATTATCCTCTGGATCAGGTACCTCTACCTCTCATTCCACACCTTTTTTCAGGCGTTCATTTTCTCCTTATCTCCTACGTCTAGCCATTTCAATTAGTCCCACTGGGCATGCCAAAAATATAAGTTGGCTTTTTTGGCTTTCGAATGTTAGTATTGTAATTTTAAGCGTGCCAACAAGGATCAATCAGTCCTTACAGAAGATTAATTGCCAACTAATTATCAGACGATTGTGTTTTAGTTCTTTCAGCCTCAATGAAGAGGACTTTTACTGGTGGCTTGTTTAGGAGAATTTAGTAAATAATAACTAAGTGAAGAATAATTTCAGAATTTCATTAAGTAAAATGAAAAACTTACAATAATCTGACGCAACCTCGTAGAGGTTTACAGCAACAAGCTATTTGAAACTACTTCTATGAATGAAGTGCAGTACAGGAATTTAAAGTACAGAAATATAAAGAATTGTAAAAACTGGAAGGAAAAATAAAGTAAATAAAACTGATTTTTGATCTGAGTCCAGATCTTCTTTTTGGGGCTTTCTTTGCTATTTATACTTCTCTATGATAACCGTCGAAGTGGGCTTCTAACCGTCAAAATATCCTTCCATGATTATTGAACATGCTCTCTCACAGTCAATCCCATTACGCCACATTTGCAGTTAGGTTTCTCTCCTGATTTTGAATTTGAACCTTGTGAGTAACCATTAGGCCACATCACCTTATATCTCTCGATCATTCCAGTGCTACGTAGACCCATTAATACCAATATGGACTGACACGTATCTGACTGTGGTTGGCAGCTTGTATTATTAACTCCCCAAAATGTCATTTTCATGTCACGTGTTGAATTGTAATTGGCTTATACAAATTATACAGCCAACAATATTACCACTCATTTTTATTAGTACTTTTCTTATTTGTCTCACATATATGTATGATGCGGAGAACATACGACCCTGCCGGTTGTCATCTCTAAAATAAACCCTAAACATATATATATTATTGCATAAAAACAACACTTCATCAAATTATGCAATTTTTACTTCCTTATTTTAATTTATTATTGCTTTATACACACTTCATGCATTTCCATGAAATAATTCCACGTGTTTGGGACCTGTGATTTTTTAAATAACTAGAACTGTAAGCACGTGAACTATTCATACAACCAAACAAACAAACCCATCTAACATTGTGGCCCTTCTCCTGTTCTATGTTATATGTTTTTTTGTGCCCATAAAGCTTTTACAGTACTACTATATATAATATATCAATCTTTTCACATTGCTCTTCATCTCCATACATTTTTCTCCCAAGTTCTTCTTATATCAGTCACTCTATCATTGCATTAATGCTCTTGCACTTGTTGTGGTTGGTCTTGCTCTTTATTATCTTTTTAATTTCTTACTCTTCAACTTCATATAAAAATATTTTAAACATTTGCGGTACTTGTCCTCATAATAGTGACATTTCCTCATTCTAAGTAGTTAAATCACTTGGATTCAGAGGGCTTATTTAAACATTTGGGTTGTGTTTGGATTTAGGATTTGAGGTTGATATGTGGAGGGAATGAGAAAAGTTTCCCTCCACAAATTCCTTCCCAACTCCAACTCCAACTCCAACTCCAACTCCAACTCCAAACACAAACAGAAACTTGATTCTTTAATTTTCTCTTTCAGGAACTCCTTGTTATTGGGCAATGAAGGGTTACAGCAAAAACCAAATGTTTCTGGTACTATGTTCAATTTTCTTGGCAGGTGTGTATAAACCTCACTCAAAATTGTCACCTACTTATTGTTTCTTGAAATAGAGTCACACATTAATGTACTAATTGGGCATTGTTTTTTATTTTATCATAATAGTCATTCTCTGTTTATCTCAATGAAGTTTGTAAATTGTAACATTGCTCTTCAAGATTTTTATTTTTTTTTAAATTTTTTGAAGCTAATCATGGATATATGTAAACAAAAAATTGTGGCTTGACAACATACAGCTAGCACGATTGAGGCTTCATCTTACGACTACTCTGCAAGCATAGAGGTAAGAATAATCCTTTTATTCTCTTCATAATCAAACATTATATATAATTGACCACTTCATGAAAGGCAATAGGTCATTAGGTATCTCAAATTTACCATGAAAAGATATATGAACTCTCGTTGAGTTTCTAAGAACCCACTAACAAGTTTTGATCATTTCCAGTGCCGAGTGAATCCTCTAGGTCCTCACTATGAAGGAGGACTAGTGGTTAATCCTGAATTTCATGACGGTTTAAAAGGGTGGGATGTACATGGAAATGGGAAAATCGAAGTGAAAAGATCAAACACCGGGAACCAGTTCATCGTAGCGTATGGTAGAACTCAACCATCCGATAGTTTCTCACAGTGGCTATTTTTGGAGGAAGGTCTTCTTTATACATTTTCAGGTAGCAATCCACCTGTCAATAATGTTTGTTGATTATTTATTTATTTAGGAATTAGGAATAGCTTCGAAAAAAAATATAAAAAATTGGAATGTTTGCAGCTTGGGTACAAATTAATGAAGGAAGTGAAGCTGTGGTGGCTAAAGTTAAAGTTTTGCAAAATGAAACGATGGTTGTGGGCTCTGTTATAGCTCAATCCGGCTGCTGGTCTATGCTAAAAGGCGGTCTCGCTGTCAATCTCACCATGCCAGCTGAGCTCTTTTTCGAGGTATATATTATTGGAAAATCATTCCTTGTTCTTTGGGACTCCCTACATTTTGCCCTCCCCATATCCCGTTTTATGGTGAAATCGTGCACTAAGATGCCCTTTTTATCAGAAAATCATTCCCTAAAATGCTTTGCCATCTTCATATTACATTTTTTTTTCTACTTTACAGAGCGAAAACAGCAGCAGTATTGAGTTATGGGTAGATAATGTTTCTCTACAACCTTTCACTAAAACTCAATGGGCTGAGCAACAATCTCAAAGCATCAAGAAGGTAAATTAACCGAGCTCTACGATGTTTGTTGTGTTCCTACTGATGATAATCGTCACTAGGGACCAAATTAATTAACTAAACAGTAACGCTGTAGCATTGCTGTTTGACTAAAAGGAACCGCTATTTGTGCAGATAAGAAAGAGAGAAGTGAGGTTCCATGTATCTGACAAACAAGGGAAGAAACTCGAAGGCATCAAAATCACTATGAAGCAAACAAGGCCTCATTTTCCACTTGGTTGTGCCCTCGCCTTGACAATCATAGACAACAAGGATTACCAAAAGTGGTTCACCTCACGTTTCAGTTTCACAGCAACAACTTTCGACAATGAAATGAAGTGGTATTTCACCGAGAAAGTACAAGGACAAGAAAACTACACCATCGCAGATGCCATGCTCGCCTTTGCCAAACAGCATGGGGTCGCAGTGAGAGCCCACAACATTTTCTGGGACAATCCAATTTATAATTTGGATTGGGTTAAATCTCTATCGTCAAAAGCACTTCTGAAAGCAGCCATGACACGAATGGGCTCAGTAATGTCAAGGTATTCAGGCGAAGTGATTGGATGGGATGTGATGAATGAGAACTTGCACTTCACATACTTTGAAGATAGGCTTGGACCAAATGCCTCTGCTATGTTCTACAAGATAGCACAAGCACTGGATTACAAGACAACTATGTTTATGAATGAGTATAATACTTTGGAGTATCCAGAGGATTTGAAATCCACTCCATCTCAGTATTTAAAGAAGATTAGGCAGATCAGATCATTTCCAGGATATGAAGAAATGGTGGTGGGGATTGGACTACAATCTCATTTTGGCACCCCAAACATACCTTATATGCGCTCGTGCTTGGATACTTTTGGTGCAGCTAAAATGCCTATATGGATTACAGAATTGGATGTCCAAAGAGGACCATATCAGGTACAGACTCATAATTTTTTTTTTTTTTTCTTTTTTCTAAACAAGTGCACAGAATGCAGCTATGGTAATATTGTATTCATATTGTTACATTCTGTGTACTTTTTTGTCAAAAAAAATGTGTTTGTAGTATTACAGGGGTGATGCTATTAACCTTTACATTTTTTTCTCAAAAATGAGTGAGACCTCTAAAATTGGAGCTCTAAAGAAGCATTAATTTGTCCTTTTCCTCCTCTTGTTTTGTCTTTTACCTTCTTCTATTTTTTTTTTTTTTTTTTTTTTTTTAAATGGTTTTTTTTTTTTTAAATGGTGACGGCTCATTAGAGCTGCTTTTGAGTAGCTCTAATTAGAGCTCTCTAGCAAAGCCCTTTTTTTTCTTTAGACTCAATTTTACCCTAATGTATAATCTCAACTCCACCTCCATCCCTAAACTTCCAAACCCTAACCCTACACCCCCTTCACCTCCAGCTGCCACCACCACCACCTTTCAAACCCTAGCCACTACCTCCTCCCCTCCAACCACTATCCCCTTACACCCCTCCCCCTCTACCGCCACCACCGTCTCCTCCCCTTGTCAGAACCTTGCTCTGGAGTTACTGGGAAAGAAGTAGAGGGTTGGTGGGCAAGTGAGAGAAGAGAAGGGGTGGGGGCCGTTGGGAGAGGGTTGAGGGGTGGCAGGACTAAGGATGATGGTCAAGATAGAGGGGCTGCCAGGGGTCACAGTCATAGCTGAAAACGGTGACTAGGTTTAGGATTTAAAAGGTTAGGGATCATCGTAGAGTTACAAACAATTAAATTGAATGTTCAAATAAAAAAAAAATCAATAAATTTAAGTGGGGTCTAAAAAATATGTGAGGCTAATAATAGCAGCACCACATTATTAGCCTTGCAAACACTTGCACTGCACTTTTAATATCCTTTTTGTGACTCAAGTGATGTGAAAACTGATGTGTTTCACTTTCTAAAAAGGCCAAGTACTTGGAAGAAATCATGAGGGAGGCCTACTCACACCCTGCTGTTGAAGGAATCATAGTGTGGTCTGGTTGGAAACCAACTGGATGCAGCAACATGTGCTTGACAGACAACAATTTCACCAACTTGCCAGCAGGAGATGTTGTTGACAAGCTCATTCAAGAGTGGAAGACCAAAAATCTGAAGGGAGAGACTGATGAGAACGGAGTTTACGAGCATCAAGTTTTTCTTGGGGAGTACAATGTGACAGTTTTGGATCCACGTACTGGTGAGAATTTGATGAGGAAGTTGGAGGTGAGTAATGAGGGGTCTGAACCATTTGATGTTTGGATTACCATATGAATTCATTATGGTAGTTTATTGGAATAAATGAATGATAATTATTAGATGTTTGGATTACCATATGAATTCATTATGGTAGTTTATTGGAATAAATGAATGATAATTATTATGGGATGAATTGCAGCAATATTGAAGATCTTTATTATGATATGTAGAAGTCAAATGGTTAGTGCATCAAAGGCAAAACCTAAAAAAAAAAAAAAAAGAAAAGAAAAGAAAATGGCCATTTTACTGAAATTCAGTGCTGTCAATAAGAATTTACCCTTTTCTTGAAGGTGAGAAGTGCAAGGATTTGTGTTTTTTTTTTTTTTTTTTTTTTTGTTGTTTTCAGAAGCAAAATAATGAAAAATTTGGAAAATCAAGTAAAATTTCATTTTTCTGAGAAAAATAGTTCAAAAAAAAAGTAGAAAATAACTTTTCAGTAGCTACTTTTACCCAACTTCTTTCTTATTTTTTTTCTTCCAATAAAGTATATTTGGAAAATCTTATCCAAACAGACCCTTAATCATCTTGGCCATTAATAGATTAAGCCATCGTTTAGCAATGATTTTTTAGTTGATTTTTTTGACTTTTTTAGCCTGAGATTTTTTTGTTCGTTTGGTATTCTTAATTGGTTTTTTTGACTTTTTAGCTTTGGAATGATGGATTTTTTTTTTTGTCATTTTGTGATTTTTGACTTTTTGTGATTTTTTAACTTTTTTTTTTAATCATTTTTTGATTATTTAGCCCAATATAAAAACCAAACAAATGAAGACCAAAAGTTATGACAGAAGCAACTTCGTTCATCTACATAGCGTAGACCATCTCCAATGGTTCACCAAAACTGATATCAAATTCAAAATTTGATGAAAAAGTTACTATTCACTGCTCCAACGGTTGCACCAAATGAATATCATATTGAGATTTCATCAAACAATTTATCAAACTGACGACGAAATACTGATTTCACCAAAACACTGTTGGTGACTGTGGGAGGGGGGACCCGGTCGACCAACCGGTTGCCCGGCCGGTCGACCGAATTCCTTTGAAATTGATAGGTTCAAACCGGTCAAAAAAAGGTTCAAACACGTAAAAAAAAAAAAAATAATAATTATTTTTGCCTTACCGATTGACCGGCCGGTCAACCACCAAAACCAAAACAGAGATGAATACATTCTGAGTTCATTTGATACGGGATTTGATGTACCGTTGGAGTGAGTGGTATCAAATTTGGTGAAATGGGTCATTTTTTACTCAAATTTTATGAAAAATCTGAGTCACCGTTGGAGATGCTCTTATATCTTTTAAATGGCTCATGACTTGGTCCTCTGTTCTCTATTTTCTTGATTGGTTCTTTTTTCCAGTGAGAAAAAAGATAAAAGATTTTTTTTTAAAAAATTTGTCCAATTAGTAGTGATCAACACAATTTTCCCAAGGTACAACAAGCTGAGCTGACCATGGAGTAACAAGAAAAGAATAGAAGAAGTCATATATTTAAATCAATTAAATTAAATATTAGAGATTGGCTTAATTAGAAGATAAAAGATTTTCTTTTTTTCATTATGCGTGATATAAAGGTTAGAGTCTCATTATTGCGAGTGCAATTACTCCTCCTTTATTCCTCATCTATCAATTATTTAGAAAACTAATTAAATTATAGAACAATTTTGATTATAGCAAAATCTTTGATTCAAAGGTTCGACCTATCTATTGAAAAAAAAAAATGAAAACTTATTTGAAAAATACTTTTCATTTCTACAAATAGTTTAACAATAATGCTTGAGACCACTAAAAGTGGTGCTCTAAAAGCACCACTAGTGATGTGGCAGTGGACGAGGTCCACTCCTTATGTGCTTGTGTCTTTTTTTTTTTTTTTATTTAAAGTGTTTACCAATTCATTAATGGTGCTTTAGAGCACCACTTTTAGTGAGATGTATCATTACCGATAATTTAAATAACACTTTAAGTCGTTGAGTTTATATTATATATTTGTAAAGAGAAAGAGGGGGGAGAAAAAAAAAGAAGCAAGATAAAATATTAAAAAATGGAGTGAAAGAAATTAAATTTATTATTTTTTTAAATTAAAAAAAGTAACAAAATGAATAGTTATTTGTCAAATAAAAAAAATCCATTTTGGCAAATTTGATTACTTTTTAAGGAATCACGGGTATCATATGTATTTTATAATTAAAAATAAAAATAATATAATTTTAATTTTTTGAGTTATGATTAAAAAAATATTATAACTAAATATAATATGAGACATAAATAAAAAAAAATTATAATTAAAAAAAATGACATAATTAAATATTCATATAATTCACCTTTTTAAGTAGGTTAGAAGAAATTTTTGTATGTCCCGTGACATTATCTTTTATTAATTACAAATATATTTAATTTTTATTATTTTTTAAATACTTTTATTATCAAAATCAATTATAATAACAAAAAAATTTCCCTAGTTTTATCAACTTTCAGCAAAATTGAGGTAAATTTAAAAATAAAAAATAAAAAAAAAATTTGAAAATGGCAAACAAAAACCTCTCCTATATAACATCCACATTTCCAATTCGTCCTCTCTTCCCCTTTTTGTTTCCTCTCCTCTCCCTTCTTCTTCTCAGATCAGATCTCAGCCAAATTCCTCCAATGGCGACATCAACCCCACGCGAAGAGAGCGTCTACATGGCCAAACTGGCCGAGCAAGCCGAGCGCTACGAAGAAATGGTGGAATTCATGGAAAAAGTCTCCACCGTCGTCGAATCCGAGGAGCTCACGGTGGAGGAGCGCAACCTCCTCTCCGTCGCCTACAAGAACGTGATCGGCGCTCGTCGTGCTTCGTGGCGGATCATCTCCTCGATCGAGCAGAAGGAGGAGTCTCGCGGCAACGCCGACCATGTCTCCACCATCAAGGACTACAGGTCCAAGATTGAGAACGAGCTCTCTTCGATCTGCGACGGCATTCTCAAGCTTCTCGACACCAAGTTGATCCCCTCCGCCACCGCCGGTGACTCGAAGGTGTTTTATCTGAAGATGAAGGGTGATTATCATAGGTATTTGGCGGAGTTCAAGACTGGTTCGGAGAGGAAGGAGGCCGCTGAGAATACTCTTAATGCTTATAAGGCTGCTCAGGTTCGTATGTATTTGATTTTTTTTCTTTTTGTTTTTTGTGATTTGAATTCATGGATTTTGTGGCAAAAGGAGTTGAATTTACTCGTTGATTTGTTGTTAAACGATTCGCTTTCTGTATTTCGGTGATTTTGGCGAAAAATTAGGTTCTAATATCGTCATTGTTAGAATTGTAATTGAATTTGTGCATTAAGATATTGTAGGATGTTTCTTATGTGTTCAATCTGTGATTTTTTGTGTAGGTTAGGAGTGGCCGGGCTTTGTCTGGTTCCTCCTTATGTTTAATTGTGCATTGCCTTTTACAATTTTGAAAATTTTATAGTTTGTTGTCCCCTAGTTCATACTATGATGATATTATGGATTTGTTAGATGTTTGATTTGGTATTTGGGTTTAGTCCTTTTTTTTTTTCGTTTCTTTTCTGTTTTGGGTTGCGTACATGCATTGTTTTTTTGGCATGATTCTGAATAGTGTTGTGTTACGCTGTATTTGATTGGGGGAATTTGGGAAGGAAATTGGAAAAGAAAAGAGAAAATGCGTGTAAAATTAGATAAAATATAAGAATATTTTATTCACATTTCATCTTCTTTTTCTATTTTCCTTTCCAAATCCTTTTCCAAATACCTAAACCAAACACAACATTAATGTTATGCCTCGTTTATTCGTTTTCTCAACGTTGCAAATATTGATCTCTAATAAATGTGAGGTTAGGGTTTGGAGTGAGTTGTTTTGAAATAAATATGGTCTTGTTCAGTGCTGGTTTGTGTCTGTGATCGTAGGCAATATTTATTCAATTATTGAATTTGCAGTATTTTGTGGTTTTTACTTTTGAGTATGTGAATGTTGATGATGGAAATAATAAAAATGGGGTTAAGGGTTACTGATTACATTTTCAAATTTTTCCCCTCAATAATTGTAATCCCAGCTGATATTAGATTGTTTCAGGTATTGATTTCAGCTTTCTGTTTGCAGGATATAGCTAATACAGAGTTGGCTCCAACACATCCAATTCGACTAGGGCTGGCTCTCAACTTTTCTGTGTTTTACTACGAAATTTTGAATTCACCTGATCGAGCATGCAGTCTTGCAAAACAGGTGAAGGGTCACATCTTAATCTCTAAATTTTGACTTTCTCTTCATGTTGGTGGTTTGAGGTATTGATGGGAAGCTTCTTCGTTAAATAAAAATAGAAGAAAAATGGTTGGGAATGAATGATGTTATTTGCTTTTCTTGCACGTTCATTGACCTGAATGTCATTGAGCCCTGTTGTATGATGCAAATGCCTAGCAGATATGGGGACCAGGTGGACCCTCCACTAAAATTTAAAAAATGACTGTATCTGGTGTCTTTGTTATTCATACTTTATTTTGTTGACCAGGTTAATTTCATTTACCAAAACATGGATGCAATGGTGGAGTCAGGGTTTTAGTTGAGAAAGTTATTAGGTCTGCTTGGTTTGGAACACAAAGTTTAGTTTATTAAAAAAAAAAACAACAATTATCATACATATCACTACAATAAAATCATCTGAACATTCAAATTTGTAAATCTCTCAAGTAATAAGAAATGAACCCAAAAAAAATAAAATAAAGACAATTATATAGATATAATTGATTTTATTTGTGAATTAAAGGAAATGCTTTCTTAGATTTATTTGTGAATTAAATCAGTAGTCAATCTATGTCCATGTTTTAATGAATAGTGTGTTGAGTTTGTTGGATGATGAATGTGAAAATTTTAAAGGGGTATATATATATTTATAATTTTAGCAGGAAAAATTTGAAAACATTTCTAAACCTTAACGTAAGATGTAATTTCCTAAGGGTTGGAAGGGGCACGTGCCCCTCCTAGTTCTTTAACTGCCTCCACCCCTGCATAGGCGAAGTGTATAACTAACATTTTTATATCTGGGGCTTTTAAGAACTGGCTGTTATTTTTCATGAACTGAACTTACTAGTCAGTGAATTGAGAAACTGCCCTCAAAAGTCCTCTTGATATCCCTCGCCTTTTGATATAGTAGGTTATTCATTTAATCAATTTCATTATTTATTTATTAATAATTAGTTGTAATTGTTATATGGTTTCTATCAAGGCCTTTGATGAAGCCATTGCGGAGCTGGATACACTGGGGGAGGATTCATACAAGGACAGCACTTTGATAATGCAACTTCTTCGTGATAATCTGACTTTGTGGACCTCAGACATGCAGGTTTACCTTCTACTCTTTTCTGATGATTGTTGTGCCTCTTGTGTTTCATACTTTCTGATTGTGTATTGATTCATAATTTGTTTAACCCATTTATAGGATGATGGTGCTGATGAGATCAAAGAAGCACCACCCAAGCGTGATGACGAGCAGCAGCAGTGAAGTCATTAGTTTTCAATTTAGCATTTCACTTCTCCCAAAGTTTGTTTTTGACTGGAGAAGCTGCTTGGTCCCTTTATCTATTCTGTTACACGTCTTTAGGATTTGATGCCTTGATTTATGAACCTTGGAGGTACTTAATTTTCTTACTTCCCCATTTTTATCTCTATGAAATTTTATTGTTTCTATTTTGGATTATGAAGTTCTGCTTTTGTGGTTAAATATTGAGTGTTGTATGTTTCCTCCCTAGCTTTATACTTGGTAAATAAGTAACCTTAGCTGTGCTTTGATCTTAAGAATTTAAAAAAGAAAAAGAAAAAAAAAGTTTTAAATTCATTCACTTTTTCCTTCACAAATTCGAGATTTGACCCAGGTAAAATGGGGTGCGTCTAGTTTATTGGGGATTAAATCAAGTAATCTGTTTAGATCTGTTACTTTCGTTGTCCTGTTATTACGACTGGGATTGGAATGGTGAGTGAAACTAATTTGTTTCTAGATGAACGATTAGTCCGGGTGGTTTGAATGGCAAAATCTAATCTAGGTGAACGGTTAGTTTAGTGTTTTTTTTTTGGACTGTTTTTGTCAGCACATTTTCGTTTTTTAGTGAGTTTACTTATTTTTGAGACACTTTCTTATTGGGCGACGTGTAGTTTGGGAATTGTGTCATTTTGGTTATTGACTTTTTAATTGTGGTACATTTGATTCAAAATTTTGAATCCTGTTCCAAACAAAGAAAATGAAAAATGTGTTTTTGCAAAAGGTTCATTTTAAGGTTAAAGTCGTCATACAACTTATTTTGTATTAGTTAACTTGTATATTGTTTGAAATATAATGATTATTTTTTTAATAAATAATGTTGATACTTTCTTGGTTATAAAGTTCTGTTTGATTTAGTTTTTAAAATTTATTTTTAGAAAAAATTTCTAAGATACTAAAAATTAAATTAGTGAAAAAAAAAATTAAAAACATAACATTTTTATATAATTCTATCTTTTGGGAGAGTAGGAATAATTTTTTTAAATAATTTTTTTTCATATTTACTTTTATTAAATTAGTTTCTATTTTTTCAATTGTCAAACATGGCGACAACTTTGATATCTTTGTTAAACTAATCTATTAAATCAAAAAATTCAAAACAAAAAACATTTTTTATACTAAATATATTGATTATATTTTAAAAGCTTAATAATTATCAAATACATAATAACCATATAAAAATATCTGTTAACAATTAATATAACCATCTATTATATGATAATTATAAAAAAATATGAGCAAAAATAATCACTCATTACATGATTATTATCTAAACTCATACTAAAAATTAATTTGATAAAAAAATAAAAATATAAAAGTAGAAATAATTTTTAAAAATTTAAAAATAATTTTTTGATATTTATTTTTATCGAACTAGTTTATATTTTATCAAATTGGCAACTTTATCCTTAAAATAGCACAACGGTATCTTTAATTGTCCTAATTTGGAACGAGATTTAAAATTTAAGGTCAAATATATCACAATTGAAAGATCAATGATAAAAATGACACAAATCCTAAACCACAGAGACCATTAGTGTAATTCACCATTTTTTATTTTTTAAAGTGTTTCCAGACTAGACAATTTTAATAATTAAAAATATAGAATTTTTTTTTTAAAAAAAATTGTGAAAAGTCCATCCCAAAGAAGTATAAGGTATTAAATTCAAGATAAAATTTTGTTTATTGATAAAGACAGAAAAAATCGGCTACAACAACAGGTGGTGGTGGTAAGTAAAGAAACATGTAATATTCAACAGGTAAGTTGTTGAATAAGGAATATGTGTTACATTTTAATATATAATTGCTTAATTTCAACAGACAACTTGATTTTAACAAATAATAGTCCTTTTGGTCTAAAAGATTAGGATTTGAGTCTAATAATTAGGATTTAGTTTTGTAGTCACATCTTCCTTGGATTTTTTTAAAAAATTATTTATTATTATAATTTTAAGATCGTTTAATCTAATTTAAATGGATTTAAACATTAAATAATTTTTATTTAAAATTTTAAAAAATATAACTTAAAGAAAAAAAAAGAAGGTAAATTAAGCTAACAGTCTCTATAGTTTGGAGCTCGTGTCACTGTGGTTCATGACTTTTCAATTGTGACACATTTGACCCTACATTTTGAATTTTGTTTCAAATAAGGACAATTAAAGATACCATTACTTAATTTCAATGATAAAATCGTCAATTTGATAAAATATAAACTAATTTGACAAAAATATATGTCAAAAAAATATTTTTAAATTTTTAAAATTTATTTCTACCCACCAAAGATAAAATTATGTAAAATTGATAAATATTTTAGATATTTATTTATTTATTTTTCTTTTTTACCAAATTAATTTTTATTAAGTGTTTGGATGATGATCATTTAATGAGTGGTTGTTAAGATTTTAATGTATAATGGATATATTTAATATGTATAATGTTTTTAGTTTTGAATTTTTAATTTAATAGATTGGTTAAATAATGATATCAAAGTTATTGTCATATTTGACTTTTGAAAAAATAGAAACTAATTTAATGAAAATAAAAACAACCACACATTACATGATCATTATCAACATACATAATAAAATTAATTTGGTAAAAATAAATAAATAAATAAATGTCAACAAGATTTATTAATTTTATATAATTTTATCTTTAGTAAGTAGAAATAATTTTTAAAAATTCAAAAATATTTTTTTGACATTTATTTTTGTCAAATTAGTTTACATTTTATCGAATTGACGATTTTGCTCTCAAAATTAAGTAATGATATCTTTAATTGTCTTTATGTGAAACAAAATTCAAAATTCAGGATTAAATGTGTCACAATTAAAAAGTGAGGGACTAAAATAACACAAATCTTAAACTATAAGGGTTATTAGGGTCATTAGCATAATTCGCCCAAAAAAAAAAAAAAGGACAACTTAAAAGCTGGGCCAAAGGAAAATTAATTTTGGGAACTGCTTTTCATGTTAGTTCTTATTTTATTTTATTTTTGGTAAAACTAAATGAAAATAATATCCAATTTTTAAAATTGAAATAATCTTAAATTTATTTTACTTAATTTTTTATATCTACAACTCTTTTGAGGGAATTCAATAACTCTTGTAGAAAGGACAGGACAGTTGATTTAGTAGTCTATTGACTATATAACTATCTTTTGAAATAGTGCGAAGGTTAGAGATTTAGGTTTGAATTAATGGAATGACTGTAGCCTTTCATTATAATATAACTTATTAATCTCTAGCACCCTTATTATATAAAAGAATTAAATAAAAAAAAATTAAAAAAAAAAAAAACCAATAACCCTTAGCATAGCAAATAAAAGTTGAATGTGCAACCACTATGGCCTCTAAAGATGTAAAAACTTGAAAACTTGAAGCATCTTCATTTATTCTCCAAGTGAAACATTGCTTGATCTAACCCACAACTATTAGAAAAGAGCGGTGTTAGGAATACATAATTATGTTCTTAGAATTATTGTTTAACAATAAAATTGGGTAAAATTAGATAAATAATGTAAGAAACTTAATTCTCTAGTTAATTTATTAGAATTATAATGAATCAAATCATTTCATTATATGTCAGGTAAGAGTCTCTCTTCGCTTCTTGAGGACACGAAATATGGATGATGAAAAGTAACCAATATAATTCATTTCTTTAAATATCAGTCCATGTTAATGTACAATTTTTAAAATCTTGTTAGTGGGAAGTTTGTGTCAATGTTATGTTAAAAAAATTAATGTTAATGACCGCCTATTACACATTTGTTAAGAGTTACGTAATATAAATATATAAAAAAAATTAACTATATTTTTATACACATATTAACATATCACCTATACTATGTATTGGATTGGATTTAAAAAAATTTATTTATGATTGTGTCAAACATATTTTTTTGTTAGCATAAAATATACGTAATTTTGAAAGAAAATATTGACATTTCATAATTGAAGTAATAAAAATAAAAATTTATTATATTTGTTTGAAATTCACTAAATAAATAAAATATACCATAACTAAAATCTAAATTGTTGTGGAGGTTCTATCAGCATTCTTGCATTGTCAATAAGAGAGTTAATATTATAATTGTGTTGGCCTTTTGGCTTTTCGAAGGGTAGTTTTGTAAATGTGAGCGTGCCAGCAAGGATCAATCAGTCCTTGCAGAAATTATGATTGTCAACCAATTATCAGACGATTGTGTTTTAGTTCTTTTCAGCCTCAATGAAGAGGACTTTTACTGGTGGCTTGAATTAGGAGAAATTAAGAGAAATAACAGTAATATGAAGAACAATTGAAGTATTTCATAAAAATGAACACTTACAATGGTCCGAACTCAGCCTCGGAGAGGTTTACAACAGCAATCTACTTGAATCTACTTGAAGCTACTCCTATGAATCGAAGTGCAGTGCGAGTATTTAAAGTGCAGGTATTTAAAGAACAGGTATTTAAAGACTGGAAATGTAAAAGACTAGAAAAGAAAATATATGAAGTAAATGACTGATTTGTATGATCTGAGTCCCCTTTTTTTCTGGGGGCTGCCCTGCTATTTATACTCGTCAGTGATGACCTTCGAACTGCACTTCGAACCGTCGAACTGCTCCTCCATGATCGCTGATCATGCTTCCTTACAAGTAGCTCCATTACGCCATTACTGGCAGTTGAGCTTCCCTCTTGTACTGGATTTTGAATATGAGTAACCGTTGAAGATATGTCATCTTGCATCCCGTTATTGATCTAGATTATCTATTTTGGAGACTAAAGTGTACTTTTTTAAAGTAAGTTTTAACTTAAATGACACATATCATATATTTTTGGGATTAAAAGAGTAACTTTTTAAATGAGTTTTCACATTTTTAATTGTATCTGTCAACCGAATTAAATTGAGAGGCTTAATTGAAACATTAATTTTTTATAGATTGCGAACTAAATTGACACAATTTAAACACTAGAGACTAAATTGAAACATTTTTTCATACATTACAAAATTAAATTGACACAATTTAAATACAATAAGACCAAAATGACACAAATCTCATATTTAGTGACCAAAAATGTGACTAACCCACACAGTTGTTAGCCATTGAAGAGAGGAAAGCAAAGAAGAAGATGATATAC